CCGGGCATGAGGGTCGGTCAAGACCCCCGGGCCACAGGCCCACCCGCATTGTTTTAATGCAGGATAGGGGTGTGAAGAGCGAGCATAGTACTCCCAGGAACTTGAAGTAGTTATGATACGCTAGCGGATTAGGGAGTACGTATGCTCTCCAGGACACTGGTCCCCCGGCCATGCACGACTCTCTCTCTCTCTCTCTCTCTCTGTCTGTCTCACTCACTCACTCACTCACTCACTCACTCACTCACTCACTCACCACCCAAACAACAACGAGCTCGCCAGGCGGCTCAGACCCGAGGCTCCGCAAAGGTTCTGCTTCTCGTAAGACGGCAGCCAGGGCCTCTGCAGGAGGATGCTCGACTCGGGGTGCCGGAGCTTACGGCCCGGGCGACCCCGTAGTGCACCCCTCTGTATAGAAAGGACAAAACCTAAATACACGTACAGAAGCAAGAACAGAACACCGTCGCACCTGAATCTCCGAATCGGCTTCCCTGCTGAAGCCATCAAGGACCAGGGGCACCAGCGGCTCAACGGATCTTGGCAGTTGCATGGCAGGGCTTAGGATTCAGGGGTTTCTGCGCTCGCGCTCGGACTCTTCAGGCCGGGCGTGTAGGGTTTCGGCGCTCGCAACTCGTGGACGGCTTTCGACTCACACACTCGCACAAGGCAGGACTGGCTTCACGACGTCTCCGTGGATGCTTTAGGGATTTCCGGTCTAGGGCCGAGGGCTTCGGACAGTCACCAGGGCAGATGATCAGATGTACCACAAGCTAAGCAGATCGTTAGTCGATGTTAGTCGCACAACATGGAGAAGGATGATGTGCTATCAATAGCGACACGCTTGGCGCTGGCTTTTGTGTTTAACCCTTGCATGTCGTGTAGAGGAATACATGTTAAGCTCCTTGGTGCGACACAACCTAAACATCAAGACCATGTAGCAAAGTATTGCTGCGCATAGAACCCATCCGCACGGCTGGTTCGGAGTTGGGCCACGCTCTATAGGTCCAGGTGCTGGATTCCCAGACAGACTTTCTTGCACACGAAAGGCAGGTCCAGTGACGTTTGGGGAATTGTGACGCTAGTAGGATCTGAGCCTAGGGCGGGGCAGATCCAATGAGGTTGAGCGGAAAGGCTGAGGGAATGCAATTCAGAATCTTGCAACAGAGTCAATCTCATCCCCATCTTATTTGAAGCAAAGCTCTGGGCTCGCAGGACGACCTGCTGACGGTCCTCCCCTTCGGGCTTTCCTGTGGATCGAGGTGTGCAAGAATGAGCAGTGATACGTCAGAAGGGATCTTCAGTTTCACCCTGGCAGGTTCAGGTCCTCTGGGGTGGAGACGTGGACAGAGGCGACTGCAAACCCTAATGCATCTGCGGGAGCTGCAACTACAACTACTACTACTACTACTACTACTACTACTACTACTATTACTACTACGGTTGATGATAAAAAAAAAATCTTGCATTACCCATAATACGGAATGTACCATA